TACATCACAAAAAAATTGGTACGTGACCAGAAACGGTTACATCAATTGGCGCCGTCTGTGGGAACACGCTATAGAAAGCTAAGTTCTCATCCTACAAAAGCTAAGTTGTCATCTTACAAAAGCTAAGTCCTCACTTTTTAGAAATTAAAGCTCTCGCTCTATAGTTTACATTTTTTATGAACTCAAAGACTATGCAAGAAGCTAACAGACTAAGTAACTTTACTTTCAATTCGGATAAAGCCTTATCAGTCCTCTTCGCAAGGTCCCCCTACAAAGATGAGCTCTTCGTGGCTTCCGCGAGAGTTGGCGGCCAACAGACTACATAGGCGTCCTTACCGGTCGAGCCTTCCAAGGCTCCCGTGTGAGCTGGCGACCTAAAGTTAGTAGTGCTGCCCCCGAAAGTCGAGCTCCTAGTAGCTTCTTATAGGAGTGGGTGACCGGCATTACGAAGCTGATGCAGTGCAATCATAGCTCTAAGGCACCCACCTGGTCAGCTCGGCACCTTATAGGTAGCTCGGCACCTGGTCAGCTCGGCACCTTACAGGTAGCTCGGCACCAGGTCAGCTCGGCACCTCGCAGGCAGCTCAACACCTGGTCAGCTCGGCACCTCACTGGTAGCTCAGCGCCTAGTCAGTTTGGCACCTCAAAGGCAAAGCCTACGGGCCGCATTACTGCTAAAGACCCAGTCGCCTCTTTGGCACGGGCAAATTCAAAGAAGAGTGGACTACGAGTCGCTCCCAAAGCCTACGGGGCACATTACTACTTAAGACCCAATCGCCTCTTTGGCACGGGCAAAGTCAAAGAAGAGTGGACTACGAGTCGCTCCCAAAGCCTATGGGCCACATTACTGCTTAAGACCCAGTCACCTCTTCAGCATGGGCAAAGTCAAGAAGAGTGGACTACGAGTCGCTCCCAAAGCCTACGGGCCACACTATTGTTGAATACCTAGTTGCTTCCTCAGCATGAGCAAAATCAACAAAAGTGAACTATAAGTTGCCCCCAGAGCCTAAGGGCTACACTACTGAACTGGTAGAGACCTCCTCACCTTACAGGCAGCTCGCCACATACAGGCAGCTCCCAAAGCCTAAGGAATTGGATCAACACTTACTAGCTCGTCAACTTACGGGCCAAAAGAAGAAATCTACTCCCTTCGCTGAGTTAATCTCAGCTCGAGAATGGGGGGCAAATGATGAGGGTGGATTTGGCCCTCCAGTAAAATTGTGACACCTGTCACCTCATGCAAACCAAGTGCAGCCTCTTGACAACTGGGCAGCTCGGGAAGCTCAGCAGAGCTTGCCACAGCTTGCCACTTACAGACAGCTCGGCATGGCTCGCCACAGGCAGCTCAGCAGAGCTCGCCCCAAGCAGCTCGGCATAGCTCGGGGAGCTCGGTATAGCTAGGGGCAGCTCAGCATAGGAAGCTCGCCACAGGCAGCTGGCCACTCCGTAGGCAGCCTGGCATCTTACGAAGATCTCGCCACTTAGGGGTAGCTCAACACTTACAGGTAACTCGGCATAGGCAGCTTGCCACAGGCAGTTGGCCACTCCGCAGGCAGCCTGGCGTCTTACGAAGATCTCGCCACTTAGGGGCAGCTCGGCACTTACAGGTAGCTCGGCACTTAGGAGCAGCTCGGCGTATCGCAAGAAGATCTCCTGCCCGACAACCGTACCTGATAGATTCGGAGGCCTGCGCCCACGTCTCTCGCTAGGCAGCGCCGTGCCTACCAGTCCTGAGAGCTGTCTCTTGACTGGCAGAGCCGTACTCTACAGCAGCCGCCTGCACCTGCCACCTCAGTTGTGGCAGTAACGGTTGCGGCAAAGAGACAGAGGTAGTTACGCCTGACTTGACAGAGGCTGTTACGCCTGATTTGACAGGACACCACTATATAAGGACTCTAACCCCCAAAGACAAGGGGGAGAGAATGAAAAAATGGAGGTAATCCTTGCTCTCTAGCTCTCTCATTTCTCTCCAAGCTCCCTACAATTAGAGTGCTAACTTAGGCATCGGAGAGTCCCCGTCGAGAAAATACCCCCGGGTCCTCTGATTCAGTTCTCGCAGGTCCCTCAGCTCCCGCCGCCTGCAAAGGAGAGGAGATCACCTCATGCAGAGGGCAGTCGGGTTGCGCTACACCAGGGAGTTCGTCACCAAGTAGCTCTCCACCAGGGAGCTCGTCACCAAGTAGTTCACCACCAGGGAGCTCATCACCAAGTAGCTCACCACTAGGGAGCTCGTCACCAGGTAGCTCTCCACTAGGGAGTTCGTCACCAGGTAGCTCGCCACCAGGGAGCTTCATCATCCTCTGAGTCACAGGCCACCTGGGAGCAGGTCAAATGACGAGGTACTTAGCCAAAAAATTGGTACGTGACCAGAAACGGTCACATAAAAAATAAAGGCATCGTTTTCTCAAAAAATGGTGCTCCAAGCCACACATCAGTAGAGAAAATGGTGTTGCAACTGCAGTATCGATGCCAAACATATACTATAGTGTTAAAGATTTTATCGATATTTCATATAGAATACTTGCCTTAGTAAATAGAAAGAATCGATTATAGTGTTAAAGATTATATCGATGTTTGCCTGTTTGGATATGATCACTTGCTTGGTTGCTTAATTTGGTTTTATCTATGTAATAACATTGAGGGTGGGTTTTGTTTTATTTTTTGTTTAGTTGGAGAAATTGAGTTGCAAGGAAGAAGGTTTGGAGGGGAATTAGGTTTTTGTTTTGGTTTAAATAAATTGGAATGGAAGGATTACGAGAATTGAAGACATTCTAGATAATTAGAATTCAGAAGGCAGTATGAGAACAGAACATAGAATGGAAATTATCATTCAATGCTTTCCAAACCCAAAGTATAGAACTATTGCAAAACTGGAACTAAGAAACACAATATGAGAATGTGTTGTTGTTGAGTCATGCCACATAGGTCACTCTCCTTAAAACCACATTTGTCCCCTATAGTGCCGCCCGATGAATGCAAATCGGTTTACAAAATGAAACAGTCCACAGGCTTCTGGTAAGAATGCATTCTTAGTCACCCAAACAAACATAGAAGTGTCCTATCACAAAGAGAGATTTCTCTTCATAATAGTGTGCAAGGCACTTGTTCGAAGAGACACACGGAGGCAAAAACGAAGAGACAAGAAAATGAGATGTTTTAAAAAACAAAAGTTAAATTGAAATGGCCGGTAAGGAAACCAAATGGTCAAAGATTAAAAATGTTATAGTGTGGTGTGTGTGTGTACACACGCACATGCCCATGCACCCGCACCCATGCCCTGACTTGACCTGGCTCGAGGCGGGGTGGCTCGATGTGCACGTGTGTGAAAAGCACCCCCACCCAAAGAGGAGGGAGGTTAGATTCTTGAAAATTTGAATTTCCCTCCAACAATCCCCTACAAGATTCAAAATTACAAGAATGACCGGATACCCTGAGCATTAAGGTGAAAGAAGTATTCATGATGATATCCTTTTGACTTCAATCAACATTTAGGTGTGACAAATTATGTTATAGAGTGTGGGTACAGTCGCACTCTTTCAACCTTTCCTCTTTATAGTAACTAACCAATCTACCATCCAACCTAACTCACCAATTCCTTAGTGGTTCTTTTGTTTTAGATTATTTCGGCCTTTTTCCCCTCTTGGGATCATGAGCGTTTTAGATAGTCAGGTCTTAGAATTCTCATAAAAGCGGCCACACTTCACATTCACTTAGGTTGGTTACTTAGTGTGCACTAAACACACTATTCTGAACTGATTAAGATTTTTACACTTAACCTCCTCAACTTGTAGTGAGCACTATCTTACTTCAACATCTGTAGTGGGGTACAAACTGATAGTGCTTTCCCAAGTCATCCAGTGACTCATTCTTACCCATTCAACCTAATTCCAGGGATTTCTTTTCACATAGGCTGGGTGTCCATCACTAATGACATGTAATGGGCTTCCACCCCATTCCAACTAATACCTCATAAACCACTTTTGAAGCTTGTGGTTTAGTCAAACAAATCTACAAGGTTCTTTTTAGACCTTACAAAATCCAAAGCAATTGTTCATTCACTAAGGTATTGTCTTACCAAATTGTCTTAGTCGGATGTGCCTTCATTTACCATTGTAAGTTTTATTCTTGGCTTTGGCTATCACAATGGAGGGATATAGATGGAACTAGCCGAGGCCAAAGTGGTATATTTGCTAGTAAGTTCCTTAACCACTCTAACTTGGACCCTACTATCTTTTGAATTTGAAATCCAATTCACATCAGTAAAGCCTTTTAAAACAGGAGGAAAACATGAATAATGCAAACCATAGTTCATAGCTCCTTTAAATATTTTAATAATCTTACTAGAGCTTCTCAGTATTCATATCTAGGATTATGAGTATGCTGACTTAAGGCTCGTTTGGCGTGTCTTTTCACACGGCCTTTTAATTGTTTACAAGCCGAGTAGACCGATTTTCAATCTATTTCCATTTGGTTCGTAGAAGATCTAGCTGCCAAAAGCCAGAGCGCCGAAAAGACGTGAGAAGCCCATTTTGGGAAGCTTCAAGTGAAGCTTTTGCATCTTTCACATTTTATTCTCGCGTGGAAAGACACAAAAAGACATGTGTATGCCAAACTAGCTTTGGGTTGCTCAGATCTTCATGCAAAAGCTCAATGCGTCTTTTGACTATCAAACTACCAAAAGATCTTCCCAAAAAGACTTTCCAAATGGGCCCTTAGTTTTTCAACAATTATTGCTATATTCAATCTTGTGTAGTTATTAAGTAGGACACAGTTCCAATTACATACTCCTTTTGTGAAACATGTTCTCCTACATGTTTTTTTAAGTGAATACTACAGTCAAGTGTTATCTTAACAGGTTTATAGTCATAATGTCCAAACTTTTTAAGTATATTTTCTACAGTGTGATTGAGAGATGATAAAATTTTCTTGTTATTTATGGATTTTAGTCCCTAAGATTACATTAGCCTTACCCATGTTTTTACTGTCAAATTTGGACATTAAGAATCGTTTTGTTTCTTTCACTATATCTAAACTTGTTCACATTATCAACATATCATCAATATGCAAGCAAATCATATCTCCTTTATCATCTACAAACTTGCTGTAAACACATCTATCATAATCATTTATGCTATACACATTTGTAACCAAAACTATCAAATTTTTTCATGCCATTTGTTTGGGAACTTGTTGTAAGCCATATAAAGACTTAATTAGTTTACACACTTTGTTCTCTTGTCTTGGTACTATAAAGCCTTCAGGTTGCTTAATGTAAATTTATTCTCCTAATTCTCCATTTAAGAAACTTGTTTTTACATCCATTTGATAAACCATAAGTTGTATATGGATGCTATAGCAAAAAAGACTCTAATTGTAGTTAACCTTTCTATTGGGGAATATGTGTTAAATAAATATATATTTTTCTTTTGTGTGTAACCTTTAGCAACCAATCTGACCTTAAATTTATCTATTATGCCATCTGGCTTTAATTTCTTCTTAAATATCTATTCACAACCTAGTGCCTTAGTTCCAAGAGGGAGATCCACAAGTTCCCAAGTGTGATTAGTGATTAAAGAATTTATTTTGCTTTTTATGGCTTCTTTCCATAATCCTTCATTAGGGGAGGTTACTATTTCTGGATATATTATTGGGCCTTTGTCCACCAAAAATATGAACATTCCATTACCCAATTTTGTTTATTTCCTTTGTTTTTTATTTCTCCTTAAGTCTGATTCTTAATTCCTATTCTTGGTTTTTATTGCAGACTTAGGGTGGTTCCTTATTTATTGCTTCCTTTTTCATGGGAAAATATATTCAAAGAATTTTGCACCTCAAGATTCAATTATGTTGTATTCCACAACATTTTCTATTGTTATAATATGTTCAATTTTGTTTTAATATAATAATAGATAGATAATAAAACAATTAGTTCCTAATTTGTTATCATTTTAAGCAGCATTATATCCAAATTGATCCGAAATTCAAAGATTTGATAATCGAATCGGATGCTGATGTAACTAGACCCGATCCGATCCGATTACAGCTCTATAGAAAACATCGGATCGGATTCGAATTCGCAATCAGATAATTGGATACCGTTTGCAGCCCTAGTTTTCTATCACCTTTACTGGAAAGACAGATACAAACCATCGATGTCTTGTACGCAACAATTTTATTTCCTTCGGCTCGGATAAATCCAAAGTGTCCCTCTTCTATCTCCCTGAATCCAATTCCAGGCCGATGGCTTCTGCACTTCTGTAAAATTCTTCGTAATCTGGGTTTCTACTATCCATGGCACCTTCTACTTTGTTCTTTATAAGCGTCTTACTACTCGTTCCTGTAATTGCACAAGTGCAATCCAACGAGGAAGGCTTCGTTTCCGCAGTCATCTCTCAGAAGGGTCTTGATTTTGCCAAGGATATATTGATAGAGAAAGCAATTGCATCCTTAACACCTCTTAACTTGCCCCGAATCCAGAAGACTATGAAAATCCCTTTTGTAGGAAATATTCAGCTAGCCCTATCTAACATCACGATCTATCGGGTCGATGTTTCTACGTCGACCGTCAAGCCCGGCGACACGGGTGTAGCAATTGTTGCCTCAGGTGCCACCGCTAATTTAAGTATGAACTGGTATTATTCTTACAGTACTTGGCTCATCCCTCTTGTTATCTCAGATAAAGGTCACGCCTCTGTTGAGGTATACCCCGATTAGGCTTTTCACTTTCTCCCATCCTTCAATATTTATTTAATATGAATGGTTTTGATTTTACTAGCTTCTATCGTTAGTAGTTGTTTTCCAGTTTTCCTCCCCCCCCATCCCCCCCCGGTCCAAGCTTTTAGATTTCAGTTCTGATTGTTTTGTAAAATTTTGTATTTTTAATGCTTATGTTTCATGCAAGGAATTGGACTCATGTGATTAGGAACTGCTGGGTTCAAATTAAACTCATCCCTTTGTTTCACATCTCACCTCAACTGCTAAGATAGCTAGTGGATTAGGGAAGTTTTGACTAGAAAGTACAAACAATGGGTGAATGTTGGGCTATCAAACACGGTGCCGTGTTTGGAAGAAAAAATAGCACTGAGCGAATTGTAATTTGCCGAGTCAACATAGAACTGCCAGTTTATCTCAGCTCCTACTGCCTTGCAGAAGTCCTATATGGAAGGAGAATTCCAAGAAATAAACAAAAACACACCTGAGGTGGCTCACTTCTTTAACCCTCCAAAAGATCATTGTCAATCTCTCTGCATGGCATGAATAGAGGGATTCTAACTGGATTTATTCACAAAGCTAGAATTCTTAGTTCACTTTTGATTGGCGGAAATCTCAGTACCTTGCAATTTCTTAAACTCCTATAACTGGTCCTCATTGTGGGACCCGTGATATCCAGTTGCCAGTATCTAATGATTCAAAACCACAAGTTCCATATCCTTGTATGCCCCCTCATTAGCAAACTTGAATGTTATGCTGTTTAACTTCTTTGAACTAGCACTACCAGGCGTACGTTTTATAGTTCTGTACAGCCACTAGTCAAGGCCTGCCAGTGATTGATTCTTGTTGAAATCTACATCTGTTAAGCAGTATTTTTGTATATAATGGTTCAATTTTAACTGAATTTGCCTGATTCACTAGTTGCGGTTATAGCTTTTATTCTAGGTTACCTGATTCATCATTCAGGATTGTGACCAACAGGATTTGGCTTCAATGAAGCCAATAGCTGTGGAGAAACTCATCAGCCTGCTACTGCTTGGGAAACAATCAAGCCCCATCTTAGATTCTGGACTTCTCTTGCAACAGAAATGTGCCCTAGGAGAACTTTAGAGGGAAAAGAATCACACTGTATATCATAGCACACAATTGTCCCCAGGGACCGAAATATTAAGTATTGTCTGTGCACCCAAAAATCTTAACACATTTATACTCTCATTTTTTTTTAACTTAATTGCTAATTTAATGTATTTCACTTTTAAACTTTATTGCATTAAATAACATGGATTGAAATTTAACACTTGTGTGAACATGGGTACTTCTATAATCCAATTGCAAATGTCATTAGATGGGACATGAATATCATTACGTTTTTTTAAGTTGTCCATGTACTTAATTCAGTTTTTCTGAAGTCTGTCTATTTCTTTCCTCCTATATGTTTATGTGCTCATCTTCAGTGTATCTTTCAACAAAGGGAAATTGACGAGTGCTGCTTATGGGTAAGGTTGAAGGCATGGAAGTGGGGCTTACTTTAGGCTTGGAGAACCAAGAAGGAAAACTAAAGCTATCTCTCATGGAATGTGGTTGTTATGTGAAAGATATTTCTATAACTTTGGATGGTGGAGCATCTTGGCTTTACCAAGGGTAAGAAATCTTCTTAGCATTAATCTCTCTCTCTCTCTCTTATCTCACCCCTTCTCATTCCAATGCACAGACATAAATAAAAAAATAAGTTATATATAACTATTTAATAAAATAAAGTTGCTTTAAAATTAACTGAAAATTTCTAAAAGTATCACAAGGCTGCCTGTTGAAATGCCAGGAATTACATATAGGCATGCCTTCATGCACACACGCATATAGACCACACAATATCATAAATGCACAGGCATTTCCATGTTGACTGCTAATTAGTTATAATTTTTCTTGTCCAACTTTCTAAGGTTTCTTTCTTTCTGTTCTACCTAAGTTGACTATGCCTTTGTTAAGCATGCAATGGAAATGGTGAGCAGGAGGTGACAAGGCATATCTTTTATTGATTTGTTCCAGATAAATACATACATACAGAGGCATTTCCTAATAAATCATCTTATTGATTTGTTATACTACTAAAATAATTGACTATGCATTGAGGTATTTTTTGATCAGCAATGCATTAAGGTATTTATTCTAATAATTATAATGTTTTAGGGGCCTGCCTTGATGTTGACAGAGCAAGGGGAAAAGGGAGCTTGATGCTTGAGTTGTACTATATTATTACCCTAGCTGTGGGGTAATAGATCTTGTATTTAATAAAAGATTTTCAAATCTGTTAATGATAGAAAAATACAATGTTTGAACTTTGAAGGCTTAGCTTCTTTGTTCCATGAATAGACATTCTTACAATGTTATATATTGAAGTTCTAAGGGTTTCTTAGATGTTATCTCATCTTATCAGTGACTTGATTACAGAATCTGTGTACATCTTATTTGTCAAGGTCAGCAAATGGCAAGGCATATATGTTAGCCAAATTGTGGAGGGGGTTTTATAGGAATGCTATGTATTCTGGATGATCATGGCCTCTATAGCCTTTCTTGCATATTCTTTTTATTCTCTCTTCCTTTTCCATTGAAATTTTTATTATTTTATCAAAAGAGAAAATTGTAAATATGGTTTTCTTTTGCATAATATTTATAAGATTATGGATGTGCAATCCATCCAACAGAGTTAAAATTTCCCAATTTTATTTGCAGCACCTTGTTGCTGACCTTTCTGAAACTAGCAGCAGATTTACATTCTTATCTCTCATGCCAAACATTAATTTGTGCTGCATCTTTCAAGTTACATGAGCTGAGAAAGCATTAGATCAGCATGTGTTATTTCCATCCAATTAAATGATCTTGTACTTTCTTGTCTGTGATTATTTGGCTGAAATGGGAGGCATTTTTTACACTATTATGTTTCCTTTCTGTCCATGGACTTTATACCTTTTTTCTTGTTGATGCATAATGCATTGTACGACTGTTTTATATAATCCTCTTATTTTCCAGATTTGTGGATGCCTTTGAAGAACAAATAAGTTCTGCAGTGCAAAACACTATTACCAAAAAGATCAAAGAGGGGGTTGTGGAGCTTGATTCCTTATTGAATACTCTTCCCAAAGAAATACCAGTGGATGAGATCACCACTTTGAATGTCACATTTGTTAATGATCCTTTGTTAAGTAATTCATCCATTGAAATTGAGATTGATGGATTGTTCATGGCAGCAGATGAGGTTGTAAATCCCAGCTATTATCATAAGAATTCAAAATCTCCAGCTTCCTGCAAAGATCCCCCTAAGATGCTTGAGATTTCATTAGATGAAGCAGTATTTAACTCTGCATCAGATGCATACTTCAATGTAAGTTTTTTCATGTATTAGTATGAATTTCTCTTTTATATTTGATTGTGGTCAAACAGAACTCCTTAGTATCTCTCTCTGGGTCTGAGGGGAAGACTGCTATAGTCTTATGGCTGGTATTTGCTACGCATTTAAAGCTAGCTGTTGTCAGTGACTTTATTATGGATAAATATCTCTTGGGAGATCTAAGGAATGCAGAAAAATAAATATTCCCATTTTAGTCATGCCTGACTGCCTTCAAAAGCAGTCTCCATGATTTAATTGAGAAACTCTGAAGGTGAAAGCTCAAGTTGAATGGGATCAAGACAGTTGTCTTTGGAGACTTCTGTTTTTGACTTTTTGTGGCTTCAAGTTCCCTGTGGAATTAGTCTCAGGTGGTGAACTAATACTAATCCCAATGAATTGTTTGGGTGCATCATTCAAGGTCTAATCTGGCCAGCCTAGGAATTAATCTTGCCAATCTAGGTTAGATGAATCTGTAATTAAATCAGCACTGGAAGCATTATTATGTTAATAATTCTTCTTTTTTTTTTTTTCATCAGGCAGATTTTATGCACTGGATTGTCGACAAAGTACCAGATCAGTATCTTTTAAACACTGCTGGCTGGAAATACATTGTTCCTCAATTGTACAAGAAGTACCCAAATGATGACATGAATCTGAATATATCTGTATCTTCTCCCCCAATGATAAGGATATCACCTCATAATATTGATGCTACCATTTATTCAGATATGACAATTGATGTTTTGGATGCTAATGAAACAATACCAGTTGCATGCATCTCAGTGGTAAGCTCGAAGTTTGATATATTTGTTACTATTTTCTATTCAATCCATTGCCTTTTCTTTATTAGCTACTTTGTTTGTGATTATTGTTATTTTTATTTATTTAAGCTGTTGCTGTGCCCAAAATCCAAGGTTAAATGCAAACTGATAGTGGTTATCTAATGAAGATCAAAATTAGTCCACCTAAAATATTTAGTTTGTCTAATAATTATAAATAGAAAATGTAACATTGTTATGTCACAAACCAGTTTGTATGGAAACCAAGGAAACTCTTTCCAGACACTCATTCAGCATAAAGTATTTTTAATCGGTGTCACATTTTATGGTAAGTAGATATTCCATAACTAATAACCATTGAACAGTAGATTTCCTTATTGGAAAAACAATTGCCTTTGCTTCTTTAATGTGTTACTTTCAGGTCCAACTTTCCCAACCAACATCTACTAGTAACATTTGGTAGGAACTAGAAGTAAAATCTAGTTAGGATTGGGTTTAGCCTTTATGAAATTCTAAGACATAGCAGAAGAGGACCTTTCTAAACTCCCAGTTAAAAGGCTGATTAGATACTCCACTTAATTTATGGTGTTCTAACATATTCAGCAGGCTATTTTTGAATGTTCGGCTACTAACCTCTTGCTTTGCAAAAAACCTAGTTTTATCACATAAGGTTTCTTCTTAGTGAATAAGCTTCACTCTCTTCTTCTTTCCCCCTTCCCATTTATGGGGGAAACTTTTTCATATTGTGCAAACTGGAATTAATGTTTTGTTACTGCATTATTAATGACAAAGCTACTCCTTGAAACAGGTAGTTCGCACATCAGTTTCCTTGGAAATCATAGGGAACAATTTGGCGGGTAATGTTGGATTGAATGACTTTTCTCTCTCATTGAAGTGGAGCAAAATTGGTAACTTCCACATGTACTTAATTCAGGTATCATGATGCATTCGACCTTGTGTTAGTGCAATTTCACATCAGCAAAATTGTCATGGTTTTTTCATTCATGTAAGTTATTTAATGCATCGGTCAGAATGACATCCTCATTTGATAGGAACTGAGATTGTCCTCGTGATAGTGGTTAAATGCGAACCGTAGGGCTATGGTCCCATGACCCTTGGTATATTTCTAAAGAATTGCATCAATTCCATAGATCAAAAGTTTCAATCTAGCAATTTGTGCCCAAATAGGGAAGTCATGCCCTCATGACTCGTGGTACATTTCTAATGTGTCAGACAAAGTTCATGGACTTTGAGTTAAACTCTCAGTGTCACTCCATTGGACACAGTATGATGTCCAATTTTTTTCTTTCCAAAAAAAGCTTCAGGCCATGACATGCTGGCTTGAGCGTTCCAGAGTCCGCTGAATCAGAGAAATCGCAGTGTCGCTTTCTGTGTTTCCTGTCATACTTGATGGAAGTCAACCCATGACTAGTTATTTTGTATTTCTCTTTGAAAAGGGGACAAGTTTGCTCAATGGTTTGTGCAACAAATGGGCCAAGACTCTTTCATGTTGGGTGTACGTGGTGGCCAAAAAATGAGTTCCACATTTTGAATATCACCCATTAACCTTGCCCTTATCTATTAGAAATTTCAGCCTAATAGTTCTTTTTCTTGGGGCAATAGAAAGACTTACAAAATTTTTCAACAGCTGGTATGGCTGGTGCCATGTAAATGCTAGCTATGAATTTTTGTGAGATCGTCTATTTGTCTTGCAGAGAAAGGATACCAGACTTAGGACTACTACATGTTACAGCATACATGGTGAGTAACAAGAGCCCCATACATTTGCCTCATCATCTGATCCTACCCTTGTGCCACAGTTTCTGAACATATAGCCCCATGGCACATGAAAAGAGGGCCTGTTTCCTAAGCTTTAGCATCTAACATTATGGATGCAGAGTGAAAGTAAGCCATTGAGTTTTTTATTTTTTTCCTCCTCAGGAAGAGGAGAAAGTGGTAAGTGAAGCCTGCAGGATCCCAACTGCTAATTACCTGATAAAAGTTGCCACATGACAACAGGCTGAGGTTATGGACAATGAGAGTGAACCCTATTTTTTAATTTATGGTTCAATGCACCGCAATTATATAAAATTATGTAATTATCTGATATAACTTGATAGTTATATGATTTCATTTATAAAAAGAAATAGTTATATGATTGCGGATATCCCAGGACAATTTGTTATATTCTGCTCAGTCACTTCCATCTGTGGTCTTTTGGCTTTTTTTTTTATCTTTTACTAGGTATTATTTGAAAAAAAAAAAAAGATTTTCAACTGGTTTTGGACCTCTTGGTGGTTGTCTTCTCCACTCCTTTTGTTTACTGACATTTTAATTTTAAATTTCTGCAGTCAGTGATGTGGACGTTACTCAAAACAGTATTCTTGCCCTATGTGAACTTACGCCTGAAGAGAGGATTTCCCTTGCCTATTCTTCGTGGCTTCAACCTTCAAGATGCTAACATTCTTTGCACCAATTCACGAATAATTGTTTGCAGTGATGTGGCTTTTTCAGGTTTATACTATCCTAAATGATTTCTTCGATATGAATAGATATGTCATATCCTTTGTAATAGGGGTGTAAATGCTGTAAATTTGTGATATAAATAGGGAAAGAAACAAGATTCCTCACTCCAGTTGATTTGCGTTAGCCAAGCAATTCCTTTGTTGTTTAATCTAACGGGTGCGACTGTTGATGTATTATAATGTTTGTAAGGGCAGAAACTGAGAAACATGGTTATCATTGTTTTATTTGAAATAATAATGTGTACTCAGTACCATTTATAAAATTGAGGATGGTGACAATGTTTCGTTAAAAAGCCTGATTTTTATTTTTCATTTTTACTCTTTATTTATTATATTTTTTAAATTTTATTTAATTAACAGTTAACACTTATAATTGGATAAAGCAAAAAAAATAATAATTAGACTGTGGAACTTACTCCTTGCCTTGTTCAAATCTGCGCCCCAAACCCCTTCTTATTCTCTCGACTCACGGCCTAATGCTTGTGCAACCTTGTACTCTTATCGAATCGTCTCAGGCACCGATGACCGTTCCAGTAGATACATTGGAGGTACGAACCCATCCCTCTCATCTCATTTCTTTCTCTCACATCATTTATTTTCTAACTTTTTTTTTTTTCCAATACAAAACACAGACGGAAGGATCACCGGAGACCACCCGATCCGATCAAAACCATTCCAAATTATCTAACTCCTACTCCTTGTTCAGCTCTTCCAAAATCTTACACTCGATGACCTTCCATTCCCAGAATGCTCTCCATTAGAAATAGTAGATCTTTAGCCAATGCCAATCCAGAAAATATTCAAAGTAGGCTTTTGATTCTTGTCAAGAACATCACTAAAGTCACCGCAATCCTATTGAATAAACCTCAACAGGGAAAGACTCACGCACGTTGTGGCTGATAAAGTTAAAGCCAATAGAGTAGCTTACTGATGTTTCACAACAGAAACACCTATCCTGCATAGCGAAGCAAGGGGACATCTGATGTTGCCCATATCCGTGATGGGAACTTTTGCACAACCTGATTGTTGGGTCTTGCTGTATTGAAGCTCTCTTTCACCTGTCGGTTGTGGTGGATCTATAGCCCGATTAAAGTAATTGGATGGAAAATCGCTTTTACAGCTCGAACAAGGAAGTGGGAGCTAGATTTTAGTGCCTGAAGCTATATTTCCCAGCATCTACTATCCACCTGGTAGACTGATGTTGCCATTCAAGCTCACAACTTCGGCTGAAAATCCTGGTTCCCTCGATTAAGAGAATAGTGGTGACGAACAAAAATCCATCTTGCCTAGTTTGATAGCAAAACCACCCAGAACAATAGTTGCCCTGATAAAAGCTAAGGCTCCCACTCCATTGGCCGATTTTTCAAGAGTTGCAAGGCGAAGGACAAATAGTGTCAGCTTCTTTTCAGGCACAAGGTTAGCTGAAGAAGCGGAGCTGGAATTGCTGCTCCCTGGTCTTCCAACTGGGCTATGGTCCATCCTGTCGGCAGATTTTGAGGAGTTTCTCTAGTTGTGCAAGAACTTACCAACAGAGATGTATGGAAACCATAAGAAATGGTATCAGATCAAGTGCTTCTGCAAGAGATGAGAAAGAGAGATTTGTTAGTTGCAAGCTGAATTACGAAAGAGAAAGACAGTAGATTCATTTCATTGCTCTACTAGTTGTATGAGTTGGGTAAGGGTTGGGTGGTCACCGGTGATCCTTCCGTCTTTGTTTCGTATTGAAAAAGAATTAAAAATAAAAGATGAGAGAGAGATGAGATGAGAGGGTCGTGTTCGTACCTCCTGTATATCTGCTGGAACCATCATAGGTGCCGGAGATGATCGAATCGGAAGAGTGCAGGGTTGCACAGGCACCAAGCCGTGAGTCGAGAGAATAAATAATGCGGAGCTAACAGGACGAGCTAATGGCCATCCCATTAGCTCCACACGTGCTGAGGGGAGAATGCATGTGGAAGGATAGTTGGTGGCCTAGGCCGTGGGGTGTAGATTCGAACTTGTTTGATATTTTCCCAAAACACCTACTTGACGAACCTCTTCATTGATTAGAGCCAACACGTGCCAAGTATCGAATGGTTTGGCCAAACCACAAATTTGAATTGAAGGGAGGAATGAATTTTTTTCATTATTATTGAACATCCCATTGAAATTAGGTGTCACTTCATGGCTGAGAGAGGGGCTGCCACCCATCAACAACTTGAACAAGGAAGTGATGGGCCTCCCTAGTTTGAGAAACATAAAAGAAGAAAATACTCTCAATCCAAGACAAAGACATGATTCTAGGCACCAAAGGGAGGGGGAGGAAGGTATTAGGCACCCCTCTCCCTTTGTTATCTTGTGAATGCCAATTTTGATAAAATTTAACATACCATTAAGTGCTTCTTAGGTCCAACGAAAGTCTTACAATGAGAGGGACATTCTTTCATGAGACTTATATCCCCTCGGGTACGGGAGGCTCTTAGATGAGCAAAGGGGGAATTGACTACACAACCACCTCTTTTTTATCCAAAGCCTCCCACATTCTTACTTGAGGAGGGAGAGAAGGATTGAATACCAAGGATCTTATCTCCCATGGACAGCCCTCAATCCAAAGCCTCTCAATCCAAGACAAAGACATGATTCTAGGCACCAAAAGGAGGGGGAGGAAGGTGTTAGGCACCCCTCTCCCTTTGTTATCTTGTGAATGCCAATTTTGATAAAAATTAACATACCATTTAGTGCTTCTTAGGTCCAACGTAGGTCTTACAATGAGAGGGACATTCTTTCATGAGACTTATATCCCCTCATCTTCCTCTTTCCGGGTATGGGAGGCTCTTAGATGAGCAAAGGGGGAGTTGACTACACAACCACCCCTTTTTTATCCAAAGCCTCCCACATTCCTACTTGAGGAGGGAGAAGGATTGAATACCAAGGATCTTATCTCCCATGGACAGCCCTTCACAGTGGATTAAAGCATGACGTTAGTTAAAGAACATGAGAAAGAAAGAATAATAGTAATGCCAATAATAAAAAAAAAACATAAACCCAACACGAAAAGATCATAAAATAACTAAAAACTATGCACAAAAGACTTAAAAAAACAAAAAGAAAAACAAATATTCGACCTAGCCTTGTTTACCCAACATTAAGTACAATCATGCACTCAATACTAATACTCAACCAAGAATTCTTGAAAATTCATCAACCCAAAACAAAAGAAATCTAAGGTAATGGAAATATGGATTAAAGCCATTAATTTCAAGCATTTTTCCATGGGAAAACAATACAAAAAAAAGGGAAAAGAAAAAACAAAGAAAAATATCATTAGAAAAGTTAGAACCTTGACTGTAAATTATTTTTGAGAGGTTGAGGACGATTACCTCTATGTGCGGCCCTTCTTCCTTTCTGCCAAGGGGGTTATAGGAAAGAGTTTGATGGCCGAAAGTAATGGAGAACACCTAGTGCGGTTGACAGTAGAGAGGATGGAGAGCTGTGCTGAACTCGTTCAATGCAGGGGGCTGCAAATCCGAACTGGACCTCCATTTGTTGTTTCTTGTTGTTTTGAATTGTTTTCTAAGTCGGAACCTAGTGTGGAAGCTCCAGCTTTTGGGTGTTGCTTCTTTCTCTTGTACCTAAATGTTGAATGGAGGTTGGAGGAAGATGAGAAGGGGGGGGGGGGGTTCTATGGTTAGGCTTCTTTTGTAAGAAGATGAGAGGAAGATGGGGGAGAGGTTTTAGTTCAGGTGAGTAGAGACATTTGGGAGAGAGGGAAATGAGAGTGAACGGTGGGGATTTCGGTGGTGGAGAGGAATGGAGGAAGAGAGGAAGTGAGAGAGAGAGATGAGGAAGAAGATTAGAGGAAGATTTCGGTGGTGATAGGGCTAAGAGAGATGGGAGTTCGGTAATGGAGAGCTTGAGGGAGAAGAGAGTGTGTGAAAGGGAGAGCAGAGAGCTTGTGGGAGAGAAGGTGCGAGAGAATGGAGAGAGTATTAGAGAGAATGGCACTTGGTTCGTTCGTTCATGGAGGGAGGAGGTGGAAAGGAGAGGAAGGAGAGGGCGTTAAGGAGAGGACCGTTCGGTGGTTTTTTAGAGAATCAATTCGGTTTTGTTTTTTGGTCTTAGGTTTTTCTTCTTTTTTTCTTTTCTTAGGTTTTCCTTTAGGACCAAATGGGTTAGGCTATTTTGGTTCGGTTGGGACTATATTAGTTGGGTTAGGACCGAATGGAGGGTGTTTAGTTTAGGGTTCGGTTAGGTTTGACCGAATTGGAGAGGGTTAGGTTTAGTTTGGTTAGGGTTTAAGTGTGAGAGATTAGGGTTTTGAGCTTGGTTTTCAAAAGAAATGGACAGCTAGGATGGTTTGATCCTAATCTAAAGGGTGGGGGGCTTCCTAGATTTTTTCTTTCTTTTTTTTTTTCTCTCACATTAATCTCTTTCCTTTTGACCTTTATTTTTTTTTTGATTAATCACCCATAACTTTCCCCTTTACCCTTTTTTTTCCCAAAGTGTTGGTTGCGGGACTTGATTCCGCATCAATGTTGGAGCAACCCAGCTAACACACCAACGAGCCAGCCTTCGATTGGTCTTTTGACCGAATTTAAGGCAATGAGACAATTTCCCTCAAAAGGCCCGCCTTGTTTCCTTATTAATGGCCTAAAAAGGGGGAGCTTTAAATTTCAATTTAAATTTTGAATTTGAGGAGGGAATGGAGAGGTAGCGGCTAGGGTTTTAAATTTAGGGTTTTGGGATGTCGAAGTGATGGTTAGGCCGATCCTATGGTGGTGAAGCAAGGGGGCTCAAATCTAGGGCTATGATTGATTCTAGATTTAGTAAGAGCTTTATGTGATTTCCAGAAATGTTGAAGGACTTAAATGAAAAAACAGAAGGGGGTTTTTTGCAATGAGAGGGCAAGTCCAAGGGGTGTAATGTGTAGGATTCAAGGGTTGAGATTAAAACTCATGATGTTAGGGTTTATCTCGAACAACAAGATCGCACGAATTGGAATCCTTGTAGATAGAGGGGTAAAATGGGGAATTTTGTAATAAGATTTTCCAAGGGGGTTCTAAGGTGTCCAAAAAGGGTAATGATGGGGTTTGATGGCCTCGGGGGGTGTGTTAGAGTGAGAAGTCATGAT